AGTTAGAAGGTTTTAATTGATTAATATGTATATGTAAATCCCCAAATTCCTTTCAAGTCCCTGTGCTGAGGGAACTAAAGGTTTTATCAGTGTAAAGAAGTGACATTTTAGGTCAGACAATGCATGTTAGGTGTGAGACCTTGCTTATAATCTGAGTGACAGTAAGAACTGCCTATGCTGGAGTCAGAGATAACGCAGTGTGGAGCTGGAGGAACACAGCAGGTCAGGCAGCATCAAAGGAGTAGGAAAGTTGACGTTTTGGATCAGGACCCTTCTTCAGAAAATCTGAAGAAGGGTTCCGACCCGAAACGTCAACTTTCCTACTCCTCTGATGCTGCCTGGCTTGCTTATAAACTGTTTGTGTTTTGGTTTGGAGTCAAACTGGTTTTATTTCTAAAGTAGGAATTTATAAAATGCCACATTGACTGACTATCTATAAATTGTGTGCTTTTTGAACAAAATAGAACGTATCTGCAAATACAAATTCATCCCACAGATTCACGTGTGTATATGCGTGTGTGTGTGTGTGTGTGTGTGTGCAAATGTTTGAGTGTGTGAGGGGGGGTAGAGAGAGAGAGAAAGAGTGTGCATGAGTGTGTGGGAGGGAGTGTGTGGGAGTGTGTGTGTGCGCGCGCGCACACGTGTGTGGGAGAGAGTGTGTGTGCACGTGTGTTTGGGACAAAGAGTGAGTGTGTGCGTGTGTGTGGGAGAGACAGTGTATGTGTGTGGAAGAAAGAGTGAGAATGTGTGTGTGCACGCATGCTTGACAGACTGCGTGTATGAGAAAGGATCTGAGAGAGTATGTGTGTTTGTGTGAGAGTGAGTGTGTGTGTATGTATGCATGTGTGAGAGTGTATAGTGTGGTGGGGTCACCTGTAGTGCAACATGTACCCAAGATCCCGGTTGAGGCCATCCTCATGGATACTGAACTTGGCTATCAGCCTCTGCCCGGCAGCTCTGCTTTGTTATGTAACCTGAAATCTGCCTTGGAGGATGTTTTTCCCGAAGATCCGAGGTTGAATGTCCTTGACCACTGACGTATTCCCCCACTGGCAGGGAACATCCGTGTCTGGTGATTGTTTCGCAGTGTCCATTCATCCGTTGTCATAGCGACTGCATGGTTTCACCAATACGCCATGCCTTGGGGCATCCTTGCCTGCAGCATATGAGATAGACAGTGTTGGCCAAGTCACATGAATATCTGCCGTGCACGTGGTGGGTGGTGTTCCCACATGTGATGACGGTGTCCATATCAAAGATCTGACATGTCTTGCAGAGGTTGCTATGACAGGGTTGTAAAGTGTTGTGGTCGATGTTGTCTTGAATGCTGGGTAGTTTGCTGCAAACAATGGTCTGTTTAAGGTTTGGCGGTTGTTTGAAGGTGAGAATAGGAGGGGTGGGGAAGATCTTGGCAAGGTGCTCATTATCATCGATAATGTGTTGCAGGCTGCAATGAATATGGCATAATTTCTCTGCTCCCAGGATGTACTGGACAACTATCAGACGTATCCCACACCTGTCTTTTGCAAGACATGTCAGATCTTCGACATGGATACTACCATCACACGTGGAAACACCACACACCACTTGCATGGCAGATACTCATGTGACTCGGCCAACATTGTCTATCTCATACGCTGCAGGTAAGGATGCCCTGAAGCATGGTACATTGGCGAAACCACGCAGACGCTACGACAACAGATGAATGGACACTGTGCAACAATTGCCAGATAGGGATGTTCCCTCCCAGTGGGGGAACACTTCAGCAGTCAAGGACATTGGGCCTCAGATCTTAGGGCAAACATCCTCCAAGGCAGACTTCAGGATACACAATAACCCAGAGTCGCCAAGCAGAGGCTGATAGCCAAGTTTGGTATCCATGAAATCAGCCTCAACCGGGATCTTGGGTTCATGTTGCACTACACTCTCCTGTGCGCACGCACACACACACACACACACACATGAATCTATGGGGTGAATTTGTATTTGCAGAAACCTTCCATTTTGTTCAAAAAGCACACAATTTATAGGTAGTCAATCAATGTGGCGTTTTATAAATTCCTACTTTAGAAATAAAACCAGTTTGACTCCAAACCAAAACACAAACAGTTTATAAGCAAGGCCTCACACCTAACATGTATTGTCTGACCTAAAATGTCACCTCTTCTTTGCACTGATAAGACCTTTGGTTCTCTCAGCACAGGAACTTGAAAGGAATGCGGTGATTTACATATACATATTAATCAATTAAAACCTTCTAACTGATTGAAGATTTAACAGCATCTCATGTTTGATTAATACATCCTGATCAGTGGTGTGACCCTTTGATCTTTTACTTATAAATACTGTGTTTGATAATACCTCTCTCACTAACACCTGAAGGTGGAGTGAGGCTCCGAAGGCATGTGGGTTTCCTCCCATAGTTCAAAGATGTGCAGGTTAGGTGAATTGGCTATGCTAAATTGCCCATAGTGTTCAGGGAGGTGTAGATTAGATGGGTTATAGGGCGATGGGTCTGGGTGGGATGCTCTGAGGTTCAGTACGGACTTGTTGGGCCGAAGAGCCTGTTTCCACACTGTAGGGATTCTATGATATATGATGTGTTTTCAGATAAACCTGTTGGAGTATAACCTGGTGTTGTGTGATTGGTCTAGGCCCGAAACGTCAGCTTTCCTGCTCCTCTGATGCTGCTTGGCCTGCTGTGTTCATCCAGCTCTACACCTTGTTATCTCAGATTCTCCAGCATCTGCAGTTCCTACTATCTCTGAAATAGTATTTGAACCAGTTCTACTAAGTAATTCCATTATTGCAGACTCCTCAAAGGTGAAAAGAGCACAGAATGTATGATACCTTGCAGCAACAATCTAAAGCACTGGCTGATGATATCGAACAAACAGACAACCCCACTTGGTGTAAATCAAATATGTAGATACACACGCGGTTTAAGGCCATCTTCTACGTTTTGGTTATCACCCAGCAGATACAGAATGCATAACAAGCCTACTTGGTTCACATCACCAGAAGGACACAGGAGTGGTGACAAAGAATAAGGGAGTTGGAGGATGCAGGGTCAGATGGCATGCGGCCAAGTGTACTGTCCCAACCTATACAGATTAGATAAAAAATTGCTTCTACAACCCTAAGCTTGATACCTGGCCAGTATCTATGGGCAATGCAGTGTAAACAGAAAAGCATTACCACAAAGTTGAACATAGAACATAGAACAGTACAGGTCCTTCAGCCCATGATGTTGTGCCAACCTACTCTGCATACCCTACATTTTCCTATCCTCCATGTGCCTATCCAAGAGTCGCTTAAAAGTCTCTAAAGTATCTAACTCCACTACCACTGCCAGCAGCGCATTCCACACGCCCATCACTCCAGAAGTGGGATCATAACAATATAGCTCCATGGAAACCACTGATGAGGTGTAGTGACCAATGTTCATAGATTCAGGGCACAGTCAAGAATAAACTGTCTGGTTTGGAGATCCAGGATACTGAAAAGAATAAAGTACTTATTTCAACAGTATTGCAGTTTTTTGCAAAGCAAGTTAACAAGTTTAAAGGTCCTCCAGATATTACAATTGAACAATTGTCTGTTTCAGCAGGAAAGACATCCTCAGTGAAGGAAGTCCAAAAGACAAAAGGTTTTCCAGTTCTAAGGGACCTGAAACTGTCACACCGTCAGGAACATAATCAAAGTCAATAATCTTCAACACAGAGACTTCTCAAGTTTCCAAGTCTGAAGTGAATGGAAAATAGCAGTACCTTCAGACTGTTGGAATTTGTGAAGTAAGAGACCTGGGGAGAAGGGATAGTGGCAGATGTGATTATATATATGTGAGTATATAATATTAATGGGAATGAAGCCAGGGAGGGCATAAAGGTCTTAAAGAGTTAATGCTGAGGAGCATGTTAAGCACTGCACAGTGATGATATCACATGACCCTGAGCAGGGGAACACGTTGGACCTGAAGGAGTCAGACCTAACTTTGAGTTTTCCTTTGTATTTTCAGTAACAATTTCTACCATACCAATGTAACTTCTACCTAGTTACCACAGCAATAAACGACATCTTGTTTAAAACAACAGCCTCTTCTTGTGGTGTCACAAGACTATCAGGTGGTTTTCCTCTACCTCATTACAACAAGATGGCCCACGTATATCCTTACAAGGAAAAAGAATGGTGGCAGAAAAACTATGAGGTAGATCTTACATCATGACAAGCTGTGGTGAGAAATCATCGTACCATAGTGACTTGTGGTTTAACGAGTATAATGGCATGCTAACGTGTTAAAGATATGTTCCTAATGCTTATTGCCGGAAACAACCATCCTTCTTTAACCAATTGCCAACCTCATTTTCAACTTTTACCCCAACTTCTGGAAGGTAATATTTCTCCTCTTGTATAATTAGATTCCCCAAGTGCCTCGATTTCTGCACCTGGTGACAGCATTAACTTATGTTCATACTTCTGTATGATACTACGTGAGCTCAGCCAATAACCAAAAACAGGAAAAGGTAAAAGGTTTGAATCAGTCTCAGGCAGTTAAGGGTTAAATTTTCAATCATATTGTAAAAGCAAATTGGAACTACATATGTACGAAGACAGGCTAGTAGTATAGGAGCTACACTATGAGTGAGTTGGAGTTGGCCTTGGGTGAAATACAGACAATGCTTACGAAGATGGTGGTGAAACAGCAGATAATGGAAGACAACTGGATAGAGAAATGCAATAAGTATGTTGTAATGATTTTTATAAAGCTTGGAGGTGTTTGTAACACAGCAGAGTTGAGTTTTACACTTCATGAAGATAAAGCTGCTCTGTCTTCATGTGCATGAAATAAACGATCCTTAACCTAATTCCTAAAGTCTTCTATTAACCTATCATGTTGTAAAATAACAGTACTAAATGTTGCAGATAGCTGTCAACATGAATTATGGTCAAAAATGAAAATTAAAAATTTGGGAGAACAGGGAAACAAAGAGTTTGAATACCTTTAATTGTTAGCCTCGCCTCAGATTTTGATTTCCCTGCAATGAACTGCAGCAAGCCAGTCATCTTACAACTTGTTCTTTTCAGAGTCAGACGATGGGTAGTGCCAGAATGCTCAATCTCCACATCTTCAGAAGCGTGAAGAAGTTCACCATTTAGTATCCATTTTGGAGGCTTTACATCAGCAATTGAAAGCTCACACTGAAAACTTGCATCGTTTGGCTCTGTGACTTCCACATCACATAGCTGCTTAACAATGGCAATTGATTGCTCTGTACATTTAAAGAAATTGATAGAAGTTAGATAATTCCTTTTGCATGTTAAATTGTGTGCAACATATCAAATTCTTCAACTTGTCACAAATTTGGTCTGAATAATGGGATAAATAAATACCAATATTTGTTGAATTGAATAAAAACCTACTGAAGTCACATTAGAAATCGAAAGGTATAATGATAAAGAAAGAAAGAAAGAAAAGCAATGTCAATCAAGCATTCAGAATTTATTAAACGTTTTTATTTTGTTAAAGGCATAATGCAATCTCAAAAATCTTTACAGAGAACTAAACAGGCAAAATCTTCCATTGTGGAGTCGGGATGTGGTGTTGGCCGTGTTAGAGGTCATCATTTTTGCTCAGGACTAGTGGAGGTGCTGGTGTTGGACTGGGGTGGACGAAGTCAGAAGTCACAGGGCACCAGGTTATAGTCCAACAGGTTTATTTGAAATCACAAGCTTTCGAAGCACTGCTCCTTTGCCAAAGCTCCAAAAGCTTGTGATTTCAAATAAACCTGTTGGATTATAACCTGGTGTTGTGTGACTTCTGACTCTGCTCGGGACTGGTACAGGTTTTCGTTCACTACTAAAGCATATGAGCTGTTTTGCAAATTGAACCGAAAATCTTATGGGTAACCTCAGGAAGTTCTCGCACATGGGACATTCCATAGTCAAAAGAGGCAGTCACCATCTTTGAAGACCACCCAGACAACATTTAACTCCTGCAAGCCTGCAGCATCACTGAAGCCTGTGTTGGTTACCTGCAATACGACCAACCCTAGACATGGCTCACACTAGAAGAAGCTTAGTAGAGTAGTAGAGCGAGGGATAACTTAAGTATTTAGGATCCTTAATGTCTTGGCAGGTGGAAATGGTATGACCTTTTTTGGGTCAATCCAGAACAAGGAGCACTGATTTACAGTTTTAGGTTGTCCTTTCAGGACAGAGATGTCTGAGACTTTGGAACGCTATCTCAGAAGGTAGGAAAAGGGCAACAAGTAACATCAGGCAGAATGCTGGGGCACTGGGAACCATGCTCCAGATTCCTCAATTGCATCCTCTTTCCTACAGACAAGGTCCGTAACAATGCTTCTCTCCAGGTGTCTGTGGTTTCATTCATACATACTGTAGTGTGTACACTCATGCACAATTATCTCAAAGGTTAGGTTTGTCCATGCAATTTGATGCTTAACAGTGCAGAAACAATTTTGCTTTTATTTGTTTAATGAGAATGTAGTAACTACTGTAACCCAGTTCGTTTTTATTATGGAAGTTGGAGCTTCAGTCCTTTGGTACAGAAATGTGTATTTAATTAAGTACGCTGAGCCTACAAAAAACCCAAGTCTCAGCCAGTGGTTAAGAATGCAGGTATTTTCCATGAACTCAACTTATCCAGAACCAAGGGTCACTGTTTAAGGATACAGAATAGGCTACTTAGGATTGAGATGAGGAGAAACCCCTTCACCCAGAGTGGTGAGCCTGTGGAAATGTCTGCCACGGGAAGTGGTTAGGGACAAAACATTGAATGTTTTCAAGAGGAGTTAGATATACCTCTTGGGCTAAAGGAATCAAAGGGAATGGGAAGAAAGCAGGAACAGGTCATTGAGATAGATGATGAGCCATGATCACATTGAATGGCAGAGCAGGCTTGAAGTGTTAAATGGCATACTTCTGTTCCTATTCTCCATACTTCTATGTAACTAATCATAGAATTAGCAGATTTAAAATAGAAAACTATTCTTTATTCAAAACAATAGTGCAAATTTTTTCTCCTCAAGTTTTACCCCAAAATTTTCTCCCAAAGAGTAAGCAGTGGGCTCCCAGCCAGCTGGTTACCAAATACTATAATGGAAAAGCAAACATGTTTTATTACATCAATTGGCCTGGAACTGCTTTGCAATAAAATGTTCACATGCCTCTATGCCTCGGCTTATCAATGCCTTGGTTTCATAAAGTCTGTGAGCAACCTCCTGGTCCATGTCACGATCAATGCCTTTCTATCATTTGCCCAGTAACTCTCCATGGCTTCTCCAAAGGCACATTCCAAACAGAGTACCTATACTACCTAGAAGGACGAGGGCCGTGGATACATATTTGCTATAACATCAATATCTGGATTTGGAATAAGATCCTGATCCACAGGATCAACAAACAACTGGACACAGATGGCTGCACCAATGTTGGTGAACCTATTGCTGAAGGAGCAGCCCCAACAATTGGTTTATAAAGGGCAATTTATTTGAGGCCAAAGGTCTGGTGGATGATGTGGAGGCAAGTCAATTTCTCAACAGTATTGCAAAATCTGAAGTGTCGGTACATGATGGCTCAAGTGAAGTGGAGTCAGATAGTGATGAGGAATCCCGAGTGATCGGTGCGTTATGAATCTAGGGGATGCATGCAGTGGGTGAGTTGGGGAAGAGAGGCTTACTCCCACCATGAAATCGACGCAGGGATGACATGCCAGGGGACAGAAACCAAATCACCATGTGCTGCCAATAATATGACTCTTGGAGACCTGACTAAGATAGAACCCAATGTAGGTGATCCACCTCACAGCCTGGACCCCTTGGAAGGTACCAGCATTGGCAAATGCTGCATATCACCCCAACCCCCTCCATTTGCCCAGATCAGTGATGCAGGAAGAGAATGCTGCGACTAGTGTGGACAAAACGTAGCTATCATGGCGCAATTGAGTCTGTCAATCACACTACTACTTAGCAAACCATCACTATGTGCTACGTGTAGTTGCCAGAACGGCAAGGAGATGTGTAATGGAATCCTCAGTAGCAGATGACAATGATGAGGAGGACACTGGTTTGGGCAGCTGTGGCAGTCATACAATGCTCTCTGGAGAAAAGAGATAACACGGTGTGGAGCTGCAGGAACACAGTAGGCCAGGCAGCATCAGAGGAGCAGGAAAGCTGACGTTTCAGGTCGGGACCCTTCTTCAGAAATGGGGGAGGGGGAAGGGAGCTCAGAAATAAATAGAGAGAGGAGTGGTGGGGCTGGGGAAGTTAGTTGGGATGGTGATAAGTGAGTGAAGAGTTTCAGGGCTGAAGAGATTACCAGAGGGTTGCAGTGGGAGAGAGATCCACTGAGGTCTTTCCGGAGGGAGGAGGAGAACTTCTTCAAGGTGGGCATCCCTAGAAGAGGTTTCGCAGTGGGGTTAGAACTCACTTGGGTGTCTTTTGGGGGAAGAAGGAGACAGTTAAAGTGTTTCCTCGACATGGACATGGCATCAACCACAGACCCCGATAGCCAGGCAGGGGTGGGTTCAGTCCCCTGGTAAGTCTTCTAACTAGGGAATATTTGCATTACTTTTACTTGACCTGTACTGGACTGAACTCAAAACTGAATTCAGTGGCTCATTGTTTCAGAGATAGTAGGAACTGCAGATGCTGGAGAATCTGAGATAACAAGGTGTAGAGCTGGATGAACACAGCAGGCCAAGCAGCATCAGAGGAGCAGGAAAGCTAATGCTTCGGGCCTAGACCCTTCTTCAGAAATGGGGAAGGGGGTTCTGAAATAAATAGGGAGAGAGGGGGAGGTGGATAGAAGATGGATAGAGGAGAAGATAGGTGGAGAGGAGACAGACAGGTCAAAGAGGCGGGGATGGAGCCAGTAAAGGTGAGTGTAGGTGGGGAGTTAGGGAGGAGATAGGTCAGTCCAGGGAGGACAGACAGGTCAAGGGGGTGGGATGAGGCTAGTAGGTAGGAGATGGGGGTGGGGCCTGAGGTGGGAGGAGGGGATAGGTGGGAGGAAGAACAGGTTAGGGAGGCGGGGACAAGCTGGGCTGGTTTTGGGATGCGGTAGAGGGAGGGGAGATTTTGAAGCTTGTGACGTCATCATTCATACCATTGGGCTGCAGGGTTCCCAAGCGGAATATGAGGTGCTGTTCGTGCAACCTTCGGGTGGCATCGTTGTGGCACTGCAGGAGGCCCAGGATGGACATGTTGTCTGAGGAATGGGAGGAGGAGTTGAAATGGTTCGCTACTGGGAGGTGCAGTTGTTTAGTGCGAACCAAGCGTAGGTGTTCCGCAAAGTGGTCCCCAAGCCTCCGCTTGGTTTTCCCGATGTAGAGGAGGCCACAACGGGAACAGCGGATACAGTATACCACATTAGCAGATGTGCAGGTGAACATCTGCTTGATGTGGAAAGTCTTCTTGGGGCCTGGGATGGGGGTGAGGGGGGAGGTGTGGGGCAGGTGTAGCACTTCCTGCGGTTGCAGGGAGAAGTGCCGGGTGTGGTGGGAGGAGGTGTATTCCAGGTAGCTGTGAGAGTCGGTAGGCTTGAAATGGATATCGGTTTCAAGCCCACCGACTCCCACAGCTACCTTGAATACATCTCGTCCCACCCACCTTCCTGCAAAAATGCCATCCCGTATTCCCAATTCCTTCGCCTCTGCCGCATCTGCTCCCAGGATGAGGCATTCCACTCCCAAAAATCTCAGATGTCCTCGTTTTTCAAGGACCGCAACTTCCCCGCATCTGTGGTCGAGAACGCCCTCAACTATGTCTCCCGCATTTCCCGCAACTCATCCCTCACACCCCCTCTCCGCAATAACAACCAAAACAGAATCCCCCTCATCTTCACGTACCACCCCACCAACCTCTGGATCCAACGCATCATCCTCCGACACTTCCGCCATCTGCAATCCGACCCCACCACCAAAGACATTTTTCCCTCCCCACCCTTATCTGCTTTCCGGAGGGACCACTCTCTCCGGGACTCCCTTGTCCGCTCCACACTCACCTCCAGCCCCACCTCACCCAGCACTTTTCCCTGCAACCGCAGGAAGTGCTATACCTACCCCTACACCTCCTCCCTCACCCCCATCCCAGGCCCCAAGAAGACTTTCCACATCAAGCAGATGTTCACCTGCACACCTGCTAATGTGGTATACTGTATCCGCTGTTCCCGTTGTGGCCTCCGCTACATCGGGGAAACCAAGCGGAGGCTTGGGGACTGCTTTGCAGAACACCTACGCTCGGTTCGCAATAAACAACTGCACCTCCCAGTCGCAAACCATTTCAACTCCCCCTCCCATTCCTCAGATGACATGTCCATCCTGGGCCTCCTGCAGTGCCACAACGATGCCACCCAAAGGTTGCACGAACAGCAACTCATATTCCGCTTGGGAACCCTGCAGCCCAATGGTATCAATGTGGACTTCACAAGCTTCAAAATCTCCCCTCCCCCTACTGCATCCCAAAACCAGCCCAGCTTGTCCCCGCCTCCCTCACCTGTTCTTCTTCCCACCTATCCCCTCCTCCCACCTCAAGCCACACAGCCATCTCCTACCTACTAGCCTCATCCCACCCCTTTGACCTGTCTGTCCTCCCTAGGCTGACCTATCCCCTTCCTAACTCCCCACCTACACTCACCTTTACTGGCTCCATCCCCGCCTCTTTGACCTGTTTGTCTCCTCTCGACCTATCTTCTCCTCTATCCATCTTCTATCCACCTCCCCCTCTCTCCCTATTCATTTCAGATCCCCCTTCCCCTCCCCCATTTCTGAAGAAGGGTCTAGGCCCGAAACATTAGCTTTCCTGCTCCTCTGATCTGCTCCTGTTATCTCAGTGGCTCATTGTATCTCTAATACTCCAAGCTAAATAGATATTTGAATGTAGCTGAGTTGATAGTGGTTTGTAAACACTTCAAACTTTGACCAATCATAATGCTTCTGAACTTCTTGAAACTAGCCCACCTCAAAACTAGCAGTTTGAGTTTCATACTGAAGTAATTCTCCATATTCCCCTGATTTAGATTGAGACTCCAGCTGGCATAAAAGATAACCACTGTCTTCTGCCCTTTAGCATGTATCAGCACCATCCTTAGGCCAAGGAAATTGCCATTGTTTTCTAGTATGAAAGAGAGATGGAAATCTCGGTAGCCAAGGACAGGAACCCACTCAGTTCCCTCTCCATCTTTAGACTATTACTTTACTGCGCAGACTTTTTTCACCATCAGGAGTAATGCCTTCTTGGTAATAATGTGCCATGGAATTATTTCTTTGTCCACAAAAATTTACTCTTCTCTGGTTTGAATTTCGTGCTAAATTGCATCCAGCAGGCTAAAATGGTGTCTAGTCTTTCACTGGTCTCTTTGAGTGTAAAGCTTAAGATGAGAATATTTTCCAGATACAAAAGGAGGGACTGGTAATTAAAGTTGCAAAACATTTATCGTCACATGCATGAAGGTGACAAGGGCATTACAGCGTCGAAAAGGCATTCTTGTGTATTCGTAATGACCCCAGGCTATGCTCGGCATGCTGTCTTTTTCATGCCTTGTTAAGCAATGTGTTACTAGTTATAACTATGAGCCAAACTGAGACTTTGCAGCAATACTTTGCACTTCTGAGAACTTGCAATGCTTCCCCAGTCAGAGGTACACAGTAAGTATCCTTATGAGAGATAGCAAGAACTGCAGATACCGTAAAGAAGAGGTGACATTTTAGGTCAGACAATGCATGTTAGGTGTGAGGCCTTGCTTATAATCTGACAGATAGTAAGAACTGCTTATGCTGGAGTCAGAGATAACACAGTGTGGAGCTGGAGGAACACAGCAGGCCTAGCAGCATCAGAGGAGCAGGAAAGTTGACGTTTCGGGCTGGGACCCTTCTTCAGAAAAGTATCCTTATAAGCCTTTGTGTTGAATGTCTGGTAAATTGGTATGGATCCTCAGTTTTCTATCTTACTTCCACACCAGAACTAGAGGGGAGGTGTAAGGGCTTGACGACTCTCTGATGGCACCTCACTCCAAAGACTTCCACTGGTAGTCCTGAACTTCAGGTGATTGTAGTTGTTACAAGCAGTCTCATTTGAAGTGACCCAAAATGTCATAATGCCAACACCTCCTTGGCATGAGGCTTATAGTGGAAATAGGACCACAAGGACTAGGTCTGTGCTTGCCTCTTCAGTCTGAGGTTTACATTCTGGTCCACGCTGACAGTCACCTCCCGGATGGCAGGAAGTCTAATCCTTCCCCATGGTCTGGCCGATATGTCCTCTGTGTCAAAGATAAATGATTATCACCATTAAACGTCTTCAAATCCATTCAGATCTAGGAGGACGATGTGGTTAAACAACTTCACCAGCTCCAGGAATATAGAAATGGGGTCCTTCCCTTCAGCTTGCTTTCACTCATAAAGCCTCTGCCATAGCTGTGTAAGGCTACTGCTGTCCCCAAAAAACCTTGACAGATCTCGAAAATCCATTGCAAATTGCTTTGAACATTGCACCTCTTCCAATATTTCCGGACTGGCTTTCCCGCCTTTAAGTTCCATCACAAACGTTACCTGCTCAAATGCACTGAGGGCTCTGAATGCCAATACCAGCTGCGTAGTCTCAGTTGAGTCTTCAGTCACCGGATAATAAGGAGTTTCTGTTCTTTCGCTGAATCTGATCATCTTCCTACACATTGGCAAGGAGAATTCTGAACGAGGAGTATTGCTTCCTTCCTCCATACTATTGAGAATACACGCGTGGGGAACCTTTGTCCAGTTTGTTCTAAGGGCGTGCAATTTCTTCTGCCAATGTCTGAGTTTCAAATGAACAGCTATGGTCTCTCTCAAGGATACTGGTAATCTCAACTCCTCCACCATCTGCTCCATCTCTAAGCTCCTTTCAACCCCATTCAGCACGACTTGGTGCTTGTTCCATGGAAGCCTGCTGACTACGGCAGAAATGAAACATGAGATTTGAACTCACAACTCCGCAAAGGGAATGGAGGAAATTGAGGTTAAACATATTGTAATGAGGTCAGCCAGCTAGACATCATAGAATATATGTTCCCTGACTAGGGCTGTTAATCTAGTCCAATCAGACAGCCCAGGCTGACAGATAAAAAGAGGAGTGTCAAAGATTCTGGCATTCTAGTACTAACTCTTCAGAGTCAGCTATCAGTGTCAAAGACTCTTCATGCGTAAATAAAGGGTAACTTGCTGATGGGATACCGGCCTCTATGGAGTTATTTCAAAAGAGAGACTATATGTACGCACATCAAACATCTCGCAGAGGAAATCCTTTGTTTGTTTCCTCCTTCCCATGAGGCCCCTTCCCCAAAAAAGACACCTTTCCTCCAGAGAAGGTCCATTCAACTACCTCCATGTCCAGTAATTTCCCTCACTGTCACCACCTACTGTGGGATATTCTTAATATACTGTCTCTATCAAGTTGTTCTCTAGTGTTTTAGATCACCTTTGATGTAGGGATTGTGTGGCTACATCACAGGATTTGTAAAAAATGGAAGATAAATTATGGCAGCCTGAACCAGAGCTCGTCCGCTCAGTGTGTTCCATTTCTTCATTTCTCTCGCCTTTTGTGTTTTCGTTTTCCTTTTTCTTTGTACCTCCCATCCACAGGCGGCATTGGCAATGTCCGGGGTGAAAGCCAGCGCGGACTCCCGGCCCCAGTGTGGACTCGAACTCCCAGTGTCAGCATGTATTCAAACTCCTGGCCTCAGTGTGGATTCAGACTCCTGGCCTGTGGGGACTTGACTCCCAGCCTCGAGGTGAAACCCAGCGTGGTCTGGGTTGAAAGGACTATTATTCTGAACTTTTATTTCTCTATTTTTCTATTTTATTTCTGGACTTTAAATTTCTTTATATTCTAAATTTTTTACCTAAGAACCTGTACCTAGGTACCTTGGTACCTAAGATGCTGCCATAAGTGGCAATTTATAAACTTTTCAGTGTACTAACATGAGTACATGCGACGATAAAGCTAATTCCAATTCTAAATTAATCTCAGGCTTTCTGATTCCCCTTCTAATAGCAGAGACTATCGGCCTGCTGACTGTCTCAAAAGTGAAATGGTATATAAATGAAAGAAACCTAAAGAAACAATCTGAAGAGAAAAGAAATGAGCTGGACTTAACAATACCTGAATTCCATATTAGATATCAATATTGTTAGCTGTAATTTATGAAGAATGGTTGCCTATCCAGATATTGTAAGGCATTGTACTATTTAACTTGCCTTTGGAAAGAATACTTACTTTCATTAAGGAGATTAATATTTGTTTCAATATTACTATATTACCATCTACACAGAAATCTTACAAACTGCACTATTTTAAAACTACTTCTTCAGCTTCACTCTTAGTGTTGGCAAAACATTACAAAATTAACATTATTAATGTTTTATTTTATTACCTTCAACATATAACATTGCTGTGGTTTTGTCATCAATGGCATCACATATGTAACTGCCTTCATCTTCAAAAGCCACATTATTAATTATGAGCTTTCTGTACACATCTTCACTCACAATCTCATATTTTTTACTAGGATGAATCCCTTTGCCTTTGTGATACCACTTAACAGCAGCATTTGGCCTGGAAACCTTGCATTCAAAAATAACACGATGTTTTTCAATGCCAATCTTCTCTTTTAAGGGCTTCACAATTTTAACTGGCAATTCTGAAACAAATACAAGAATAACTGTTTGCATCTGTATAAAATAAAAACAAGCTAGGGCTGACTATTAATAGTCACTACTAGATATTGCTAATTGCAGTATCAAATTTCAGTTGCTCCGATAGAGAAGCACAATTGGATAAAATATTTATTCATCATTTCCATTATACAGTTACAGTGGTTAATATTTTTGAAACTACTTTGTCCTGTAACTGTATTTGGTAAATAATTATGTTTATCATGCTGTTTACATTCAAACAGAGCCCACTAACATTTGAATCAGAGATACCCCCGCCCTCCACCTCCTCTAGAACTTCCAATTCCCCGGTCCCCAACACCTCATCTTTACCATGGACGTCCAGTCCCTCTATACCTGCATTCCCCATGCAGATGGCCTTAAGGCCCTCCGCTTCTTCCTGTCCCGCAGGCCCGACCAGTCCCCCTCCACTGATACCCTCATCCGCTTAGCCGAACTCGTCCTCACCCTCAACAACTTCTCTTTCAATTCCTCCCACTTCCTACAGACAAAGGGGGTAGCCATGGGTACCCGCATGGGCCCAAGCTATGCCTGCCTCTTTGTAGGTTACGTGGAACAATCCCTCTTCCGTACCTACACTGGCCCTAAACCCCACCTCTTCCTCCGTTACATTGATGACTGTATCGGCGCCGCCTCGTGCTCCCACGAGGAGCTCGAACAGTTCATCCACTTCACTAACACCTTCCACCCCAGCCTTAAGTTTACCTGGACCATCTCTAACACCTCTCTCCCCTTCCTGGACCTCTCTGTCTCCATATCAGGCAACCACCTAGAAACCGATATTCATTTCAAGCCCACCGACTCCCACAGCTACCTAGAATACTCCTCCTCCCACCCACCTTCCTGCAAAAATGCTATCCCCTATTCCCAATTCCTTCGCCTCCGCCACATCTGCTCCCAGGATGAGGCATTCCACTCCCGTACATCTCAGTCGTCCTCGTTTTTCAAGGACCGTAACTTCCCCCCCTCGGTGGTCGAGAACGCCCTCAACTGTGTCTCCCACATCTCCCGCACCTCATCCCTCACACCCCGTCCACGCAATAACAACCAAAACAGAATCCCCCTCATCCTCACGTACCAGCCCACCAACCTCCGGATCCAACGCATCATCCTCCGACACTTCCGCCATCTGCAATCCGACCCCACCACCAAAGACATCTTTCCCTCCCCACCCTTATCTGCTTTCCGGAGGGACCACTCTCTCCGGGACTCCCTTGTCCGCTCCACACTCACCTCCAGCTCCACCACACCCGGCACTTTTCGCTGCAAGCGCAGGAAGTGCTACACCTGCCCCCATACCTCCTCCCTCACCCCCATCCCAGGCCCCAAGAAGACTTTCCACATCAAGCAGATGTTCACCTGCACATCTGCCAATGTGGTATACTATATCCGCTATACCCGGTGTGGCTTCCTCTACATCGGGGAAACCAAGCGGAGGCTCAGGGACCGCTTTGCAGAACACCTACACTCGGTTCGCACTAAACAACTGCACCTCCCAGTCGCAAACCATTTCAACTCTCCCTCCCATTCCTCAGACGACATGTCCATCCTGGGCCTCCTGCAGTGCCACACCGATGCCACCCGAAGGTTGCAGGAACAGCAACTCATATTCCGCTTGGGAACCCTGCAGCCCAATGGTATCAATGTGGATTTCACAAGTTTCAAAATCTCCCCTCCCCCTACCGCATCCCAAAACCAGTCCAGCTCATCCCTGCCTCCCCAACCTGGTCTTCCTCCCACCTATCCCCTCCTCCCACCTCAAGCTGCACCTCCATCTCCTACCGACCAACCTCATCCCGCCCCCTTGACCTGTCCATCCTCCCTGGACTGACCTATCCCCTTCCTAACTCCCCACCTACTCTCACCTTTACTGGCCCCATCCCCGCCTCTTTGACCTGTTTGTTTCCTCTCCACCTATCCTCTCCTCTATCCATCTTCTATCCGCCTCCCACTCTCTCCCTATTTATTTCAGAACTCCCCTTCCCCTCCCCTTTTCTGATGAAGGGTCTAGGCCCGAAATGTCAGCCTCTCTGCTCCTATGATGCTGCTTGGCCTGCTGTGTTCATCCAGCCCTGCACCGTGTTGTCCCACTAACATTTGACTTCATTTAGAGTATAAAATGGACGATAAAGAACAAGTAACTTATTTTATATACCAACTTTCTTACATAATCTTCTTTTTCATTGACTTGCTATTGCTCATTTTATGCTATTCAGAAGGCAAATTTGTTCTTCTTTACCTTTACTATATATTGTCCCAATTTATATATAAAAATCACAGAACGAGTGAAGATTAACTGACTTTGTTTTCAATTATTAATCATATCTCTTAAACTTTATCCATATACATAAAAATACAACGAAATAAGGAAATACATTAACAGTTTCACAGTTAAACAATTCTCTAAAAAACTAACTTTTACGTTTAATATCTTTGCTATTTGTATTGTGGCAATTTCACAATTCAACTCTCTTAGTCATAACTCCATGCTTGCAAGCAACACTGGGGGAGCAACAAAATATTTGTCGGCATATTCTCCAATTCTAGAAAGTGACTCATAATATTCTTACCTTTAACCTTTAGGAAAGCTATGGAAGTCGCACTTTCAGCAACAAACTTGATCTCAGCAGCATCTACAGTTTTTACAGATTTAAATAGCAGAATATGGGTCCTTCCTGTGTGTAAAACATTTTGTTATGATATTTTGTTATGAAATATAGTGCATACTTTTGAAACAGATTTTCTAACACGTTCCTTTCCTATGCTTGAACTTTATATACTATTATTTGTCCAACGTTCCAAACTAGAAACCTATAAAATTCGATCAGGACTGGACAAGTTAGATGCGAGGAGGATGTTTGCAATGGTGGGCAGATTCCAGAACCAGTTTCAGGAAAAAGGGTAAAACTTTTAGGACTGAGAGGCAGAGAAATTTCTTCATCCAGAGAGTAGTGAACCTGTGGAATTCACTACCATAGAAAGTGGCTGAGGACAAAACATTATGTGGTTTCAAGAAAGGGACAGTTACAATGGTTTATATTTTTGAAACTACTTTGTCCTGTAACAGTATTTGGTAAATAATTATGTTTATCATGCTGTTTACATTTAAACAGAGCCCACTAACATTTGACTTCATTTAGAGTATAAAATGGATGACAAAGAACAAGTAACTGATTTTATATACCAACTCTCTTACCTAATCTTCTTGTGGCTAAAGGAACCAAGGGATATGGGGAGCGGGCAGAAATAGGGTTTGAACTCAATGATCAGCCATTTTCTACGTTTTCTACGTTTCTATGTAAGAACACACTTGCACTGAGATAATCTCTAATTTGTGATTGAACCCAACTAAAGCATATTGCAGCATGTGATAGTTTATGTCACCTCAACAAAGGACAAGGGCTGTATCTAGACACTAAGCAAGCAAATGAATTTGTCAATTAAAGGATGCATAGGACAGCATACAAGGTTGATGCACAGCAGATATTATAAATTAAATCTGGGTGAAACAACTGGGCAAAAACTATTGAAGCTTTTCATCTTGCATACATCATGACAGAATGACAAGAATAACAAATTTATAACGCATCAGAAGAGAGTCTTGAATGGTTGGTAACAGGATTCTGATTGGTAGAGCTGTTGCCATGGAGAATACACCAAGTCTTTATCTACTTGTTTCGAGCGGCGGGAGTGGTGAGAGCGCGAGACGGTAAGTGAACTATTATATTCGGGCATTGGCTAAACCCAAAACACTACATGTGTACTGTCTCCCACCCATCCTCCGCTTCTAACCAAAAAATAAACTGTGGAGGGTCGGTAAGGAAAGGTAAGTCTTTCTTTTCTTTATCAACAAATTTAATTAACTCATTATAATAAATTAATAAAGTAAATAACTAAGTAGAAATGGCTGGACAGGTGATGTCTTGTATCTGTATGATGTGGAAGCTGGCTGATCCCATTGCAAACTGCAGTGATCACATCTGCAGCAAGTGTTGATTGCTCGAGGAATTTCAGCTCAAGAGTTGATGCGCTGGAAGCGGAGCTTCAAACGCTGTGGCACATCCAGGAGGGGGAGAAGTACCTGGACGATTTGTTTCAGAAGGCAGTCACACCTGGCAGATTAAGTAATTCAAATTTGGTCAGTTGTCAGGGACAGCAGGGTGTGACTGTAAGCGAGGCAGGTAGAGGGATCCTGCAGTCAGGAACAGAGGAGCCTCAGCTCTTGACCTTGTCCAACAGGTACAGGTACTTGCTCCCCATGTGGATGAGGAAAAGGGCTGCAGGGAGGATGAGCCAACTGACCACTGCACTGTGGTACAGGAGGCCATTCAAGAGGGGAGAGCAAAAAGACAGGTGGTAGTTGTAGGGGATTCTATAATTAGCATCCTTTGTAGATAGTATCCTTTGTAAGCAGGATCGAGAGTCCCACATAGTGTGTTGCCTGCCTGGTGCCAAGGTAACGGATATCTCCGACCAGCTGTAAAGGATATTGGAGTGGGAGGGGGACGATCCAGTTGTTGTGGTCCACGTCGGAACAAACAACATAGGCAACACAAGGAAACAGGACCTGTTCAGAGATTATCAGGAGCGTGGAACCAAATTAAAGAACAGGTCCTCAAGGGTTATAATCTCTGGATTACTGTCTGAGCCACGTGTTAATTGGCATAGGGACATGAGAATAAGGGAAGTAAACACGTGGCTAAAAGAGTTGTGTGGGAAAGGGGTTCCTTTTCATGGGGCACTGGCATCAATATTGGAACAGGAGGGATCTGTACCGTTGGGACGGTCTCCACCTGAATGGAGCTGGGACCAATGTTCGAGTGAAAAGGGTAAACAGGCTGGTCAACAGGACTTTAAACTAGAAAGTGGGGGGGATGGGAATGATGAAACTTGCCCTAGTGGGAAACAAAGCAGCAGGTTAACATCTGTACTGGTGGATTCAACTAAGTGGAACAATATGAAAGAAATGACAGGGAAGGAGAATTCAGGATTAACGTCTCCAGCACAGACACAAATAGGACAAAGTGTTTGGAAAAGGCTAGCAATCAAACACTGGAAAAACAAATGAAAGTGAGAAGAGGCAGGGTTAATACAGGACTGAAGGTGTGATATCTAAATGCACGCAGTATAAGGAATAAGGTAAATGAGCTAGTGGCGCAGATCGAAACTGGCAGGTATGGCGTGGTAGGCATCACGGAGACGTGGCTGCAAGGGGATCAGGATTGGGAATTGAATATCCAAGGATATACATCCTATCGAAAAGATAGGCAGGTGGGCCGAGGGGGTGGGGTTGCCTTATTAATGAGAAATGAAATTAAATCAATAGGAAGAAATGATACGGTCAGATAGTGTAGAATCTGTGTGGGTAGAATTGAGGAACCGCAATGGTGAAAAAACCATAGTTGGGGTTGTGTACAGGCCTCCGAACAACAGTCAGGAGCTGGGGCGAAAGATACACCAGGAGATAGAAAAGGTGTGTCAAAACAGCAAAATCACAGTGATTATGGGTGATTTCAATATGCGGTGAACTGGGAAAATCATGTTGGTAGTGGATTGTAAGAACAGGAGTTTGTGGAAGGTCTATGAGATGGTTTTTTGCAGCAGCTCGTGGTGGAGCCCACAAGGGAACAGGCAATACTAGATTTAGTGTTGTGCAATGAGGCAGACTTGATAAGGGAGCTTAAGGTAAAGGAACCCTTACGAGGCAGTGATCATAAGATGATAGAATTTACTCTGCAATTTGAGAGGGAGAAGATAGAATCAGAGGTAACAGTATTACAGCTGAATAAAGGCGACTATAGAGGTATGAGAGAGGAGCTGGACAGAATTGATTGGAAGAGGAGCCTAGCAGGAAAGACAGTGGAACAGCAAAGGCAGGAATTTCTGGGAGTAATTCAGGAGAAGCAGCAAAAATTCATCCCTAGGAAAAAGAAGCATGGTACAGGGAGGCTGAGGCAACCATGGCTGACTAAGGAAGTCAGGGATAGCATAAAAGCAAAACAGAAAGCATATGATGTGGCAAAGGGCAGTGGGAAACCAGACGACTGGGAAGCTTACAAAGACCAACAGAGGGAAACAAAAAAATAAATAAGGAGGGAGAAGATTAAATATGAGGGTAAGCTAGCCAGTAATATAAATGAAGATTGTAAGAGTTTCTTTAGGTATATAAAGGGCAAAAGAGAAGCAAAAGTGGACATTGGACCACTGGAAAATGATGATGGAGAGATAGTATTGGGGAACAAGGAAATGGCTGAGCAAGTGCAAGACATGAGCAATCTCCCAAAAATTCAAGAGAGTCAGGGGGCAGAGCTGAGTATGGTGGCCATTACCAAGGAGAAGGTGCTGGTAAAACTGATTGGCCTGAAGGTGGATTAATCACCTGAACCAGATGGACTACACCCCAGAGTTCTAAAGGAGATATCTGAAGAGATAGTGGACGCGTTAGTGGTGATCTTTCAGGAATCACTAGAGTCAGGGAGGGTCCCAGAGGACTGGAAAATTGTGAACCTGACACCCTGTTTAAAAAGGGAGTAAGGCAAAAGATGGAAAATTACAGGCCGATTAGACTAATCTCGGTCGTGGATAAGATTTTGGAATCCGTTGTAAAGGATGAGATTTCTGAATATTTAGAACTGTATAGTAAAATAGGGCAAAGTCAGCATGGTTTCATCAAGAGGAGGTCATGCCTGAGAAATCTGCTAGAATTCTTTGAGAAGTAACAAGCAGGGTAGACCAAGGAGAGCCAATGGATGTTGTCTACCTGGACTTCAAGAAGGCCTTTGACAAGGTGCCGCACAGGAGGCTGCTGAGTAAGATAAGGGCCCATGGTGTTAGAGGAAAGGTGCTAGCATGGATAGAAGAGTGGCTGTCTGGCAGAAGGCAGAGAGTGGGGATAAAAGGGTCTTTCTCAGGATGGCAGCCGGTGACAAGTGGTGTTCCGCAAGGGTCAGTGTTGGGACCACAACTTTTCACTTTGTACATTAATGATCTTGATGAAGGAACTGTGGGCATTCTGGCTAAATTTGCAAATGGTACAAAGTTAGGTGGAGGGACAGGTAGTATTGAGGAGGCAGGGAGGCTGCTGAAGGATTTGGACAGGTTAGGAGAGTGGGCAAAGAAATGACAAATGGAGTACAATGTGGGAAAGTGTGAGGTTACGCACTTTGGTAAGAAGAATAAAAGCATGGACTATTTTCTAAATGGGGAGAAAATTCAGAAGTCTGAAGTGTAAAGAGACTTGGGAGTTCTAGTCCAGGATTCTGTCAAGGTAAACTTGCAGGTTGAGTCAGTAGTCAGGAAGGCAAACGCAATGTTGGCATTTATTTTGAGAGGACTTGAATATAAAAGCAGGGATGTACTACTGAGGCTTTATAAGGCTCTGGTCAGGCCACATTTGGAGTATTGTGTGCAGTTTTGGGCCCCATAACTCAGGAAGGATGTGCTGGCCTTGGAGCAGGTTCAGAGGAGGTTCACGAGAATGGTCCCAGGAATTGAAAGCGTAACATATGACGAACATTTGAGGACTCTGGATCTATACTCATTGAAGTTTAGAATGATGAGAGGGGATCTAATTGAAACTTACAGAATACTGAATGGCGTGGACAAAATGGATGTTGGGAAGATGCTTCCATTGGTAGGAGAGACTAGGACCCGAGGGCACAGCCTTAGAGTAAAG